GACCGTTTTCTGGCCAGGAGCTCTAGTTAGTGATGCACCGATACCAAGTATTTGGGCGAGTACTCGTAATCGCCCAAATGCTCCGCTACCAGATCTTTCGGTCAGATGGAGATTTCATCTGACCGGCAGTGCCACGATGGAACATGGAGCCATCTTCCCGGCCAATCAGGAAGCTGGGCCGCAGGCAATGACTTCCTGATTGCCCGGAAAGCTGGCTCCATGCCGGTGCCATGCTGATTGGCTGGGAAGCTGGCTTCCCAGCCAAACAGCATGGAGCTGGCTTACCGGCCAATCAGGAAGCTGGGCTGCGAGTCATTACCTGTGGCCCAGCTTCCTGATTGGCCGGGAAGCCAGCTCCATGTTCCATCACGGCCCTGCCGGTCAGAAGAAAATCTCCCTGGGTAATGACAGGCTGCCCGACTTCCAGATTGCCCGGGAAGCCAGCTACATGTTAGCGGAAGTACCGGTATCGGTACTCTGTATCGGCGAGTACCGAAATATAAATATTTTGGTGCACTGATTAACCAGTATCATTGCATCCCTAGCTCTAATAATGGCCTCCATGACATAGTGATCAGTACAGGTGGAGTAAAAATAACCCCAAAATAACAAAGACAAGGACCACACTGAAGAGAGAGGGTAACCTGTACTCCAGCATCTGACCACCTTGGAGCACCTTCAGAAACCTCTCAACATTTCAGGTTAGCAGTAGAGTTCTGTACCGTGTTGGCCATCGATTCATGCAGAAAGTTTGGAGTTTTGATGATCCCCGTTATTGGGTAACTGGACATTGGACATCTTAGACCCCCTCTTTGGGCTTTATCCTTAAACGAGATCTAAGGGGTCCTGAAAGCATTCTTCTTTAATAACGAAGTTACACAATGAAGGTGATCATCTAATCTCTAAACGTTCTGCATTCCACGATGGCCAACATGGTCCAGAACTCTACAACTAAGCTGAGACCGTTTGTTTTAGCTCACTCCAATCATGTCCACTTCCTGAACATTCTGCTGCCTACAGAACTTTGTACCTCCTGTTAAGCTAGGCCTGGCTGGCCAGCAGCAGAGGGGTTAATAGCTGGCATATCCAGGGTTGGCCTGGGAGGAATGCTGTTAAATATTAATAATACACAGTTTTCGCTGTGTGTCTGGGCTGATGACTGTCATATGTGAACATCTCTCTGTTTTCCCCGGAGCTGTGCAGAAAATCCACTCAACCATATGTTTCTGCTCTTCTAAAAATACGCCTGGCTGGGCCGAGGGAATAGCCTGCGCTGTGCTGTGTGTTCTCTCTGACCGGTGCGTGCGGTGCATTAACTGAGTGGGGAGCGCACGCCAATACCACAGAGTCAGGGGTGAGGAAGGGGGGTAGTGCTGTCATTGTATATGGGGGACACGGGGAAGCTATGGTATCCATGATATCTATACTGGGAGGTCTACTCATACTAGGGATTCGCCAATATCATTTTTTCCAGACTGAGTACGAATACCAATATTTTTCTTCAAGTGCCAATTACAGATGCCTTTTCTTGTGTCATGTGACAGTTTTTCTAAATCAATACAGACTAGTGATTTTAGGACAGTGGTGGAGTGCCAGGGCCCGGTCACAGCTCCAACTGCTGCGCCTCTGATAGTTCTTTTACTGACTCCAAGCTGTAGAGGGACTACAAATCCCAGCAATACATTATACAGCAATTCAGAATACCACCAGCTATAGAGGACTACAAGTCCCAGCAATACATTATACAGCAATTCAGAATACCACCAGCTATAGAGGACTACAAATCCCAGCAATACATTATACAGCAATTCAGAATACCACCAGCTATAGAGGACTACAAATCCCAGCAATACATTATATAGCAATGCAGGATACCATCAGCTAGAGAGGACTACAAATCCCAGCAATATATTTTTACAGCAATGTAGAATAATGTGAGGGTACATACTCTGTGTTGCTCCGGGGTAGCAGCCTGATGTCTCCCGGGTCTCTGGAGGGTTGTGCGGGGTCTCTGGAGGGTTGTGCTGGGTCTCTGGAAGGCTGTGCAGGGTCTCTGGAGGGAAGTGCGGGGTTGCTGGTGGGCTGTGCAGGGTTGCTGGTGGGCTGTGCGGGTCTCAAATGGGCTATGCAGGGTCTCGGGAGGGCTGTGCGGTGTATCTGGAGGGCTGTGCAGGGTCACTGGAGGGCAGTGCGGGGTTGCTGGTGGGCTGCGCGGGGTCTCACATGGGCTGTGAGGGGTCTTAGGTGGGCTGTGAGGGGTCTTAGGTGGGCTAGGAGGGGTCTTAGGCGGGCTATGAGGGGTCTTAGGCGGGCTATGCAGGGTCTCGGGAGGGCTGTGTGTGGCAATTCATTTGCTGGTAATTTTTACACAAGCTGAAACCTTTTCTGAGTGCTGAAACCCACATGTTGTAGTCTTGCAATCCCTGTGTGTGTGTTGTTATTGAATGTTACCGCCTCTTATACCAAACCGAGTGTCTGTTACAGTGTCACTCCAGTTGCTGTCTGTATATTCTAAATGCTTTCAAAGCTCATACCACTTGCGGGGCCCTGACTGGCAGGATTGTGGCCAGCATATATGTCTCACTCAGGTTTCTCACATACACATGGCACCAGGATTTATGGCTGATGTGGACATAATAAACTTTTTGTTTTCTTAGAATCCTAATAAGTCCTCTTCTGGGTCCCGGAGGCTTTGTAGAGCTTTGGGAGTGATTGCTCCTCCATTCCTGGGCCCACATCTTCCCTGGTAGCCAGACCTCATTATTAGTCTCAGCTCTCCACGGACCTTTATATATGTGAGCTGACTGATGCTCAAGACTCTCTCTTTCTCTCTCTCTGCTGCTGGGAGAAAAGCCAGAGTGCTAATAGAACACTAAAAAGGTAGAAGAGCTGCCTGTTTGTTCTCCTGTCGGAGACACCCTATTAATCAGGAGCTAACCTGAGTTTAGTTAGTAGCTCGGAGGAGCAGATGTTGTGTATGTTTTATGTTATTCGCTTGCTGTACAAAGCCCATTGAACTGTGTGTGTTTGGTGAATAGAAGCGCTGCAGGAACCTGCTTGGACTGTTCCTGGGTGTCCTTTGTCTTGTGCCGCTGCGGATAACAATTCCGCCTGTCCCTTTCACACATTTGCGTAAGGAAAATTACATTTGCATTCTGTTGTTGTGTAGTTCAAGTTGCTGGCCACCCCATTCTATTTTCATTTGATTGAATAGTATGTCTGACTGCAATTATCTGGGCGATTTATTGCCTTGCCTAATAAAATCCACTCAGCTCTGACCTTGTATTCTGTGTCCAACATTCTACCATTGTAGGGCGCCCGCATTGTGTTTTCCTTCCGCGGTGGCTTTGTAAGTTGTGATCGGGTTGTGATCACTGCAAGCAATATAATGGCATTTAAAGCAGAAGCCAAGTTTGGGGTTTTTCTTTTTTGTCATCTTTGCTGCAATTGTGTTTTGGACTCTTCTGGTCTGGACTCAGCTTCTCTCCTGCCCGTTATTTATGTGTTACAGGTATTTATTGGCCGCTTTCACACAGGCTTTCCAATCAGGTCCGCCTGTCAGTTTTTCAGGTGGACCTGATCAGATGCCCGAAGTTAGTGAACGGGCAGCCGATGTTCTATCAAAGTTTGTGACTGCGTTAGAATGTGTGACCGGTGACGTGGTCACACATTTTACCGTGATCCCGCCCAGTTTTTCGGCTTCGGAATGTGTGGCCAGTCACGTGGTCACACATTTTAACGTGATCCCGCCCAGTTTTTCAGCAGTGGAATATGTGACCAGCAAAAGGTGAAGAATTCTAATGCTTTGTCATCTGTTCCAGGGCAGATCAGCATCGCAGATGGAATGTGCAGGAGAATTGATCGGTCCTGAAATGTGACTTTGTGAGTGCGATCTGACATTCCACAAAGTCGGATAGAAGTGACATTTCAGGACCGATCTGCTGTTCCAGGGCAGATCAGTTCTCCTGCACATACCATCTGCGATGCCGATCTGCCCTGGAACAGCTGACAAAGCATTAGAATTCTTCACCTTTTGCCGGTCACACATTCCACCGCCGAAAAAGTGGGCGTGATTACGTTAAAATGTGTGACTATGTGACCGGTCATACATTCCAACCTAGTCACAATCTTTGATGGAACACCGGATTTAAATGGATGAGTTTCCGCTTACATTCGGTTACACCGGCTCCAGCCAGGAGCGGAAAGACAAACAGATCCAAGATCCATTTTGCCAGACCTGATTGTGCTGTATTGGGGGTAACCAGATATAGATATGGCTGCTCATGCATGGGTTTTTCCTCCATCGCAATATGACACAACAGTCACATCCATTTCGATCAGCAGAGGAACAGCTCCGTGTTCCTCATGCCGGGCACCGTTGTGTGCTCTCCTCCGGCAATAACTCTATGGCTTCTGGCTGTGTAATATTGAGGATCAGCCATTTTTACACACTTCTGTAGTTCTCAGTACTACGGGGAAGACATAATGATGAGGTTGTCCTATCTAGTGGTCCTATAGCGTCACCCTATAACAGGAAGGACATGAACAAGGACCTTCCTGGCAGGATCACCTGTATTATTTTATTGAGAGATGCAGATTTAAAAATATTGCAATATTGACCTTTGACCTGGCATTAACATCTTGGAGTTCATGAGATTTTAGGGACTGGGCTTACATATACTTTAATGGAACAAAAGAATAGGATACCTGTATCTGTTATTTGGTGTCATCTGTTTCCAGCTGGCATGTGTAATGTATATGCCCGTTGTCCTGTGGGCAGATGTAATAAACATGCCATGCCCTTGTGGCCAGTGAGATATGTATGGTGTATTTCCTGGCCATCCTTCTATGTTAGGGGCACATCATGCCCCATCATATTCTTATATCTATTACAGTCAGAGCAGCAGACATGGTGCATTGTCCGAGTGCCAATTATACGCAGTGTGAAGTTTGGTCAGAGTTGACTTGGCCACTGCTGATATCCTGTCCTGTCATTGCAGGTCCATGTGTTTGATCTGTCCATCAATAAGTATGAAGCCATCTGCCAGCAGGCTATTGTGGCCAAGAAGAAGACAAAACTGACTCACATTGAGTTTAATCCCATCTATCCGGTGATCATTGTCGGAGATGACCGCGGACACGTCACTTGTCTGAAGCTTTCTCCGAACCTGCGCAAAATGCCAAAGGTAAGATGTCCATATGACACGGTGACAACGAGAATTAGTAAAACAAATGTGTGCGTAAAGTTTTATTACACAACCCGAGGATCTGGGCCTGTGTCCTTTCCTATGGTGATGATCCTGGCTGAGGGGCAGCAGGTCCCTGATAAAGGTGAGATCTCTTAGTGTGTTGGGTCAGCAACAGAACAAACTTCACTAACTTGAGGGGGTTAGTTAGTTATGGGGGATAGTGTTATGGATACAGGCAGGGTCAGTGTTGGGGTTCCAGGGAGAGTTAATGTTAGGGATACAGACAGGGTCAGTGTTGGGGTTCCAGGGAGAGTTAGTGTTGGGGTTCCAGAGAGGGTCAGTGTTGGGGTTCCAGAGAGGGTCAGTGTTGGGGTTCCAAAGAGGGTCAGTGTTGGGGTTCCAGGCAGGGTCAGTGTTGGGGTTCCAGGCAGGGTCAGTGTTGGGGTTCCAGGCAGGGTCAGTGTTGGGGTTCCAGGCAGGGTCAGTGTTGGGGTTCCAGGCAGGGTCAGTGTTAGGGATACAGTCAGTGTTGGAGTTACAGTGAGGATTAGCGTTTCAGTTATAGGAAAGTTTCCGCCCAGTTTTTCGGCTTCGGAATGTGTGGCCAGTCACGTGGTCACACATTTTAACGTGATCCCGCCCAGTTTTTCAGCAGTGGAATATGTGACCAGCAAAAGGTGAAGAATTCTAATGCTTTGTCATCTGTTCCAGGGCAGATCAGCATCGCAGATGGAATGTGCAGGAGAATTGATCGGTCCTGAAATGTGACTTTGTGAGTGCGATCTGACATTCCACAAAGTCGGATAGAAGTGACATTTCAGGACCGATCTGCTGTTCCAGGGCAGATCAGTTCTCCTGCACATACCATCTGCGATGCCGATCTGCCCTGGAACAGCTGACAAAGCATTAGAATTCTTCACCTTTTGCCGGTCACACATTCCACCGCCGAAAAAGTGGGCGTGATTACGTTAAAATGTGTGACTATGTGACCGGTCATACATTCCAACCTAGTCACAATCTTTGATGGAACACCGGATTTAAATGGATGAGTTTCCGCTTACATTCGGTTACACCGGCTCCAGCCAGGAGCGGAAAGACAAACAGATCCAAGATCCATTTTGCCAGACCTGATTGTGCTGTATTGGGGGTAACCAGATATAGATATGGCTGCTCATGCATGGGTTTTTCCTCCATCGCAATATGACACAACAGTCACATCCATTTCGATCAGCAGAGGAACAGCTCCGTGTTCCTCATGCCGGGCACCGTTGTGTGCTCTCCTCCGGCAATAACTCTATGGCTTCTGGCTGTGTAATATTGAGGATCAGCCATTTTTACACACTTCTGTAGTTCTCAGTACTACGGGGAAGACATAATGATGAGGTTGTCCTATCTAGTGGTCCTATAGCGTCACCCTATAACAGGAAGGACATGAACAAGGACCTTCCTGGCAGGATCACCTGTATTATTTTATTGAGAGATGCAGATTTAAAAATATTGCAATATTGACCTTTGACCTGGCATTAACATCTTGGAGTTCATGAGATTTTAGGGACTGGGCTTACATATACTTTAATGGAACAAAAGAATAGGATACCTGTATCTGTTATTTGGTGTCATCTGTTTCCAGCTGGCATGTGTAATGTATATGCCCGTTGTCCTGTGGGCAGATGTAATAAACATGCCATGCCCTTGTGGCCAGTGAGATATGTATGGTGTATTTCCTGGCCATCCTTCTATGTTAGGGGCACATCATGCCCCATCATATTCTTATATCTATTACAGTCAGAGCAGCAGACATGGTGCATTGTCCGAGTGCCAATTATACGCAGTGTGAAGTTTGGTCAGAGTTGACTTGGCCACTGCTGATATCCTGTCCTGTCATTGCAGGTCCATGTGTTTGATCTGTCCATCAATAAGTATGAAGCCATCTGCCAGCAGGCTATTGTGGCCAAGAAGAAGACAAAACTGACTCACATTGAGTTTAATCCCATCTATCCGGTGATCATTGTCGGAGATGACCGCGGACACGTCACTTGTCTGAAGCTTTCTCCGAACCTGCGCAAAATGCCAAAGGTAAGATGTCCATATGACACGGTGACAACGAGAATTAGTAAAACAAATGTGTGCGTAAAGTTTTATTACACAACCCGAGGATCTGGGCCTGTGTCCTTTCCTATGGTGATGATCCTGGCTGAGGGGCAGCAGGTCCCTGATAAAGGTGAGATCTCTTAGTGTGTTGGGTCAGCAACAGAACAAACTTCACTAACTTGAGGGGGTTAGTTAGTTATGGGGGATAGTGTTATGGATACAGGCAGGGTCAGTGTTGGGGTTCCAGGGAGAGTTAATGTTAGGGATACAGACAGGGTCAGTGTTGGGGTTCCAGGGAGAGTTAGTGTTGGGGTTCCAGAGAGGGTCAGTGTTGGGGTTCCAGAGAGGGTCAGTGTTGGGGTTCCAAAGAGGGTCAGTGTTGGGGTTCCAGGCAGGGTCAGTGTTGGGGTTCCAGGCAGGGTCAGTGTTGGGGTTCCAGGCAGGGTCAGTGTTGGGGTTCCAGGCAGGGTCAGTGTTGGGGTTCCAGGCAGGGTCAGTGTTGGGGTTCCAGGCAGGGTCAGTGTTGGGGTTCCAGGCAGGGTCAGTGTTGGGGTTCCAGGCAGGGTCAGTGTTGGGGTTCCAGGCAGGGTCAGTGTTGGGGTTCCAGGCAGGGTCAGTGTTGGGGTTCCAGGCAGGGTCAGTGTTGGGGTTCCAGGCAGGGTCAGTGTTGGGGTTCCAGGCAGGGTCAGTGTTGGGGTTCCAGGCAGGGTCAGTGTTGGGGTTCCAGGCAGGGTCAGTGTTGGGGTTCCAGGCAGGGTCAGTGTTGGGGTTCCAGGCAGGGTCAGTGTTGGGGTTCCAGGCAGGGTCAGTGTTGGGGTTCCAGGCAGGGTCAGTGTTGGGGTTCCAGGCAGGGTCAGTGTTAGGGATACAGTCAGTGTTGGAGTTACAGTGAGGATTAGCGTTTCAGTTATAGGAAAGTTAAGTGTTATGATTACGAAGGAGGGTTAGTTTTTGGGTCACATAGAGGGTTAGTGTTAGGGATACAGGCAGGGTCAGTGTTGGGGTTCCAGGCAGGGTTAGTGTTAGGGATACAGACAGGGTCAGTGTTAGGGATACAGGCAGGGTCAGTGTTGGGGTTCCAGGCAGGGTTAGTGTTAGGGATACAGACAGGGTCAGTGTTAGGGATACAGGCAGGGTCAGTGTTGGGGTTCCAGGCAGGGTTAGTGTTAGGGATACAGACAGGGTCAGTGTTAGGGATACAGGCAGGGTCAGTGTTGGGATTCCAGTCAGGGTTAGTATTAGGGATACAAGAAGGGTCCGTGTCGAGGTTCAAGGGAGGGTTAGTGTTAGGGATACAGGCAGGGTCAGTGTTGGGGTTCCAGGCAGGGTTAGTGTTAGGGATACAGACAGGATCAGTGTTAGGGATACAGGCAGGGTCAGTGTTGGGGTTCCAGGCAGGGTTAGTGTTAGGGATACAGACAGGGTCAGTGTTAGGGATACAGGCAGGGTCAGTGTTAGGGATACAGGCAGGGTTAGTGTTGGAGTTACAATGAAGGTTAGTGATTTAGCTATAGGAAAGTTAAGTGTTATCATTACGAAGGAGAGTTAGTTTTTGGGTTACATGGAGGATTAGTGTTAGATTTACAGGGACAATTTTTGTTAGGGTTACAGAGCGGGTCATTGTCAGGTTTACAGGAAGGGTTAATGAGAGGCTTAATGTGTGGGTTAGTGTTAAGATTCCTGGTGAACTTAGTGTGAGGTTTACCAAGAGTTAGATTAGGGTAATAGGGGAGGTTATTGGGGCATAGAAAGGGTCAGTGTGAAGGTTATAGGCAGGTTTAGTGTGAGGGGGGCTTGGGGTAGGGCATTGCTGTCTACATTGTGAGCTATGTGCCAAAAACCACCAATGGCAGGTTCCTGGGGCTGAAGGCTGATGTGTTGACAAAGGTACAGTAGCAATTCAGAGCTCCAGTAGTAATTATTGGTGTCACCTTTTCACACGTCAGAGGGGTGGAGTCACAAGATTGGGTGAGCCGAATAACAAGTTGAAATGACTCACCACATACAGAATGTATTTATGCGTGTCTATATCTGATGTATCATTGATTTATTTATAGACAGTATCTATTATGGGTTCCCTTTTAATTTGTGCCTTCCATTGCAATGAATGTTCCTCTTCAATCTTCATTTCTCGCACAGACACTCTCCGACGCTCGGCATCCTTTAATCATGAATTGGTTTTGCTGGTATTGTGTTGTCTTGTGTGGATGTGAGGTCAGCCTGGTGGTAAATGACAAGATATCGGAGGTGTGACAGAGATCCATTTATCATTGCTGTGTGATATCTTGGAGAAAAGGTTTATACAATCTCCTACAGACACCTTCTTTTAAACTGTCCACTCTCATTCATCAGACCCGTCAGGGATGATGTCCACAGATCTGGTTTGTAGTGACCTTCATCGCAAGGTGACAGTGATTCACTCTCCAGTCTGATTGTGACACGTGTTTTATTCCACCATGGCAGTAATGGTCTTCCCCGGTCTGGCTGCATATAATGATCAAGGGAAGTCATGCGTAATTTAAAGTGAACCTGTCACTAGAACACTCTGTATACTCTAGAATTTTAGGATGATGGCCGGCACCACAGGGTGTCTGTACAGACCATCGGCTTGTCACAATTCTGCTCCATTTCACTCTAAGAAACCAGAACGCATGCAGTGTGCAAATCTCATATCATGGTGATAGGCTGGTGTACATATTGAAGTTAAAGATTCGGGTTTAGATTAGGAGTTTGGGTTAGGTTTACAGTTAGATTGGAAGTGGTAGATTAAAGGTATTGGTAATACAATAGGGGTTGGGGTGGATGATTTAGAATAGGGTTTAGGGTCAGGTAATATGTTTACAGTTAGGTTAGAGGTGCTAGTTAGCAGTTGGGGTGATTATATTGAGCCTTAGAGTTAACAGTTG